GTGAAATACAGCATATAAATGGAACTTTGCATTGGCCTCATTATGGTCACTATTGTTTGTTACAAAGGAAAAGAAGAAGTGGTCCCAGATCTGACTCCTGAGGCACTCTTTTTCTTACTATAAGACACTCAGAGGTGTGTAACCTTTGGTGTTCTAACTGCTTATGGATTTCAAACATAGTAAAAATCCTTTTTGGATGGAAAACTCAGTCAGGGATGCTTTCTTTTGTTCGAGGACAGCATCTGTTGACGTGAAGCAGAGACTGAGAGCAGTTTGAAAACTTTAGCTCATAAACGCTCCCTTTGAATCCATTTTGTCTGGATTGAGTTGTGTGTGTGTGTTTATGTGAGTGTGTGTGTGTGTCACTTTTCAGCTCACTTCTCTCTCGAATGTATCGACAACAGCGGGCAGAGATGGAGAGCTCGACATGTTTCTTAGAAAAGGCAGGAGACAGGGAGCCATCACTCTTCTCCTCTCACCAGGCATTTTTTCCTTCCTCCTCCTCCTCCTCACCCACGTTGCTCCTCTCCTGCGCTTAAGATGTAAGTGCCTTAGACAGATGTCTGCTGCTTCTTGTCTAAAACCCTCAACGCGAGCTGCTGAGCTCGGCAAACTCTAATTAAGATCAATATTTCAATTTTTAGTAAAAGCGCACAAGATGGAGAGAAGACAGAAGGAGAGAAATCATCTGTCCACGGAGACTGTGAGAGACAAAAAGAAAGGTCAACTGTGATCCTTCACAGTGTGTGTGGAAGTGTGTGTTGGACAAATTTCAGAACGCGTGGATTCATGTGTTCAAAACCCCCTTTCTTTGCCATTCCTCTTGGTTTGCTTAACTCACTCTAAGTAATTCTTCCTTATTAGAACTTTGCTTTTAGAGTCGGCTGCCACATTCTGGTAAAAACCATTCTTCCTGTTTATGGGAGCTCATATCATGGATGTAAATCAACCCCAAAAAATGTCCCCTTTCCCTGAAAGGTCCAAGTTTAATGAAGCATAGGGTCAAAACTAACAGGACACCATTTAATGTCCAAAACTAAATGGAAAAATATCTGAATCCCCCAGAAGGTAATTGGTGAGGGGACTTATTTTTAAGGCTGCGTCTGGAACATGGCTGCCATCTTGAAAACCGCCATAATGGATCAAAGGGAAGGGTTAAAAATCTTTTTTCAGCATACACAATTTTGTTTGAGAGGACCCCAGAGATAAAAGCCCTGTGGTGTGAGGTCAGATGATTCCACAGCTCCACGGTGCCAGTCTACCCGAACCCGGGAATACAACATGGAACCCACTAATGAGCAGCTCCCCTATCGTGTGATGGAGCCTCATCCCCTTGGAAATACCAGCAGAGCACCTGTTTCCTGTGGAATTGGCAGGTAATGCTGAGCATTTAGGATATGGTGGAGAAAAATGAGTCGGGTGACACGGGTGCCCCTCATTCCACACCATAACCTGTAGGTCACATGTTTCCACCTCTGACCCACTCCAGGTCCTGGACATTAGTCCAATAAGAGAAGTGAAAAAGAGCACAGTTCCAGCTTAGTCCCAAATAAACTTTACATCCTCTGAACATGTTCAGACCTAACTAGCTTCTTTCCAAACAATGACACAATATGTTTACCCTTCTACCCACATTTTAAATCAGAAGTACATAAGAACCTGAGTGATGGATGGACTTTTGCCAGAACTGTCCACAAGTGTTCAGATCTTTAAAATAATAACAAAAATAGACCAAAATGGGGGAAAATTTGAATGCATTAGGCTGGAGATGTACTTTAATGCACCACCTCATCCACATTTTGACGCCTATTCTCGTTTTTCTCTCTCAGCCCAGACTCAGTGTCACATTTTCTACCTTTTTGGCTCTAAAAATCCTCTTGATATTTTTTCACTGACGGACACCCGTGGGGTCAATACAAGCGAGGCCCCCCTAAATGCAGTGGCTGCTCGTGTGCGTACGTGTACCCGCGTGTCCATCTCCACACAATTAAAGCTGATTCCCCCTCAAAGGCATTAGTGACTTAACGGAAGTGACAAAAAAGCTCCAGGCCGGAGATAACCCTGAGCCACCTCCTGGAGCCGGGCTCTTCAGACTGGATGCTGGCTACCTTTCCTCAAAGCCCCCCCTACACACACACACACACACACACCCCTCCACGATCCTCCACCTTGCTGATGTCCATTTTGCTTAAGTCGCTAGAACTGCGTTTGCAGCGAACTTCCAGCATGCATAAGGCACAATGAAAACCCTGACTTCAAAAATTTATGTCTCAAGCCCTGGGCCGCAGACACTCCCCTTCTCCTGACAATGAATGGACCACAGCAGATCTTCTTAAATGTGCCATTTCAATACAGACTGCTTAGCTTGGCGTTTGGGGGCCAGCTCTGCTTATTTGATATAAAAAAAAGTAGCCCACTTCTAATGACTTAGCGCACCTAAACTTAAAAGACCCCGATATGATTTCAGTCCCTTCATCTCACGCTCTTCCTTTTCATCCTTGCCAGCAGATTCGGGGCAAAGGGGGGGGGGAGGGTGGGCGCGTATTTCATGGGCAGTTCGGACTGGAAGTGAAGCTCAGCAGCTGCGCAAGGTGTTCCAGCTCTCATCTGACCGAGTTAAACTTACTGCCACCTGTTTTTCCCGCAGATAGGCACTTTATCCCGCGCGTTTATCACTCACTGATCTGCGCCTGGATGGGGCCCCTGGGACCCGGAAACGGCTGAGGGGGGAGTGGAGGAGGGGTTGGGGGTCAGCCTGCGCCCGTGTCCCGCTTTAAGTCCCTCTCCCGTGGTACTTATCAGGGGTATCGACATCCTGCTGAACCCTCCTCCAGCCTCACACCTGAAAGCCTGTCCTCGCAGAAAAAAGAGACAGATGTGTCCAGAATGGAGACGCGCGCGGCGGCGGGGCTTAATTATCCCTCGATCCGCGGAGATGAGTCGGGATGCAATTTGTGGTTAATTGCGAATGAAAACCGCCGGGACCCTCCAGTCATACTTAACCCACGCGCGGGCGCGTCTGCGCGGAGCCTCGCACAGACTCGCGGAAATGCGGATTGATCCCGGAGGGGCGCGAGGCCTTAAATCGATCAGTGATTGATAGATTTGGTGATTTGTGGTGTCAGAGGCATCCTCGGGCCTCTTTGAGAAACTTAAGGGAGATAAATGGACATAGAAAGCCGTTTTTAATACACTTTAAAGGACAAATCTTGGTTTATTTCGTAATGTTAATATCAACCAAACCAAGACCTTTACATTTGAAGTGCGCCTGCGCAGTGGCATATCTCCCTTAGATTCTTTTTCAATTTTATTTTTTCCAGTTTGTCCACGTTTCTTTACATTTTTAGTTCAGCACTTTGTCTTTTCATGGAGTAAAACCATACAACTTGAATCTAACCAACAGCAGGTCTGCTTTATTCAGGGCCCAAAGTTGCGAATATTCTGTATTAAGAAAATGAATCCCCCGTGTTAACCCAGGAAAACACATTTCTCTCATTTCATTATTGTGTACTTACATTTCTTTCTTTTTTTTAAATGATGAAACATGCTCCATCACCTTATCTAAAACTTTTAATTCATATAAAATGAATAATTGTGAAACGTCATTGATAACGTTGATGAAAAGCATTCGGTCAAACTGTAGTTGGGATAACTTCTACAGAATTTCCTTCATAAATGTGCCAATTAAAATCAAATTCATTTTCTTTGCTCTGATATGGGAACACGGACTCCTGGTTTAAAACCAGTGTTTCTCTGTTCTGGCTCAACCTTTTTTTTTTTCCTCTGATAAACTCCGCAGCTCCACTCTCGCTCCGCTCGCTCCTCCGTGCAGTAGCGGCTGCTCGGTCACTAGAGGGGGGGTCTGCTGCACCTGTTCAGCCTGGACGCCGCTCTGCGCTCGGCTCCACTCGGCTCTCCTCGGCCGATCCCACCAGCTGAAACTCCGCTGTAAGAGAATGCAAATACGCGGCCGGGATCTCCTCCCATTGGCCCGTCACACCTCTGTGTGGGAGGGCCCGGCTGGGGGAGAGGGGTGGGTTAGTGGGGGTGGGGGTGGGGGGGGGGCCGTTGTCTTTATAAGTCCCTGCCTTCCAGCGCCTCGGTGTCACTGCGTGGTTTTACCGACTAGCCCAGAGAAACAGTAGGGAGACAGTTGGAGACAAAACAAACTGGAATCTAACACCTCGTGTGTAAAAAATCTCACGATCATTCAACACCTACGGTCCCACCAGGACCCGGCTGGAACCGCGCGCGCGCGCGAGGAGCCGCAGCCTGAAGCAAACGAACGGACTGACCATTGCACCAAGGGGAAAAAACTTGTCCCAAAGTAAGAGCTGAGAGTTCGGCTTTCTGTTGAAGCGCTGTGAACTTTGACTGCGTCCGAAACCCGCCATTCCGCCTCTGGATTCCCGGCACGGTTGGCACAGCTTTACGCACGGCCGCTGCAGCCTCCAGCCTCTCTGCGCGACTCCGGGAGAAAAGTTTCCGTCCGGGCCATGCTGCAGTGACTTTCTGCTCAAGTTGTCAACTGTGGGAAAGCAAAGGAGGATGCTTGGAAAGTATTTATAACGCACCGAGCGGAGGAGACAAAAATCTTTTTGGCGACCCTCGATCAAGCAGAACCGAGGACAGTAAATCAGAGGGAGGCAAGTGGGCTGCAGAGGTGAAGCGAGGACAAGACAGGTTGGTGTCTCCAAATTCACCGGGCTCGAGTTTCAGCCGCTCAGGGGGCTCCTGGTATTAAAGCGCTCATCTGACTTGGGATAAGTTGTCAACAAGAGCAGCGAGCGGAGGCAAACTGGCAGGTGTACAAGTTCATTTACATGCATACGTATATTCACGCCACTATATATAGAAGCTGTCTTAGGAACGAGCAGCCTTAATAAGTTTCTCCTCCCACCCACTGGCCCTGCAGCAGCCCCGCGCACCGGGCGTGTGCTTGTGCCTATATATATACCATCCGGGCGTTTATTCCCCTCTGCAATCTGTACCCGAGAGGGCTGCCCGCGGTCGGTTTGGCTGTGAGGGCAGGAGTCGTCGCATGGACTGACATGGCCACCGACCTCGCCATGAGCGCAGAGCTGCCCAACAGCCCTCTGGCCATCGAGTACGTCAATGACTTTGACCTGATGAAGTTCGAGGTGAAGAAGGAGCCGCCGGAGGCCGACCGCTACTGCCACCGGCTCCCGTCCGGCTCCCTCTCCTCCACCCCGATCAGCACCCCCTGCTCCTCCGTGCCTTCCTCCCCGAGCTTCTGCGCCCCGAGCCCGGGCGCGCAGCCCAACCAGGGTCTGGCCGGCGGGGTCAACAGCAGCGGCAACAGCAACAACAGCAGCAGCGTCAACAACAATCACAGCAACGCGAGCAAGCCCCAGCTGGAGGACCTGTACTGGATCCCCAGCTACCAGCACCACATCAACCCGGAGGCGCTCAACCTGACCCCGGAGGACGCGGTGGAGGCCCTCATCGGCAACGCGCACCACCACCACCACCACCACCAGGCCTACGAGGGCTTCCGCGGGCAACAGTACGTCGGGGAGGACCTGTCCACGGCCTCCGCCGCCCACCACCACCAGGCCCACCACCACCACCACCACCACCACCACGGCCACCACGCGCGCCTGGAGGACCGGTTCTCGGACGAGCAGCTGGTCAGCATGACGGTGCGGGAGCTGAACCGGCAGCTGCGGGGCTTCAGCAAGGAGGAGGTGATCCGCCTGAAGCAGAAGAGGCGCACCCTGAAGAACCGGGGCTACGCGCAGTCCTGCCGCTTCAAGCGCGTGCAGCAGCGGCACATGCTGGAGACCGAGAAGTGCACCTTGCAGAACCAGGTGGAGCAGCTGAAGCAGGACGTGGCGCGCCTTGTCAAGGAGCGGGATCTATACAAGGAGAAGTACGAGAAGCTGGCCAGCCGGACCTACAGTGGGCCGGCCAACACGAGAGATCCGTCCGGGAAACAGGCCACCGCCGAGTTCTTCATGTGAGACTCAACTTTGTAGCATAGACTCCAAATCACGCCCCCACCCCCCCAAACACACTCTGAGGACATTAATTTATACTTTTCTGTTTGTGTTTTGTTTACAGTTATTCTCTGAACAGAAAAGACTGTATAGAGCTCATGCATAGTATCAAATAGGCCTGACATTTGGTGCGTAATATTTGTAAGTCTTAACAAGGGGTTGGCTAAACTTCTGTGAGCGCGCGGCGAACTGTCAGGCGCGGGACAGGGGGTCACTCAGCTCACAGGGGGGTCACTCAGCCCACAGGGGGGGTCACTCAGCCCGCAGGCTCTCCTCCTATCAGGAGTCTTACTGAACCAATAGGACACACGAGGCGACTGTCTTAATTACGGCGAGGGGATGGTTTTGTCTTAACGCGAGGCAAAGTGTGTATAAAGCAAAGGAGGCAGCGGAGGAGGCAGCGCAGCGCCTCTCTGAGACTGTTTCTGTGGCGGAGAGGCGCCCCGCCACGCAGAAACCTTTAATAATGCAAGTGTAATAGCTCCCCGTCCCCATCTGCAACCCTGCATGCAGGACATGTATGGTAACCCCCCCTCCCAAACACACACACACACACACACTCATCCCCCGGAATCTTTCCACATGTATGGACAGCATGACCCATGGTTCCCATCGCCCCCCCCCCCTCCCCCTCCCTCCATCAGTACGGCCCTCAGAGCCCCGGGGAGGCGCAAAAACAAGCCGCTAAAACTGCGAAACCTGGATGCGTCTTTAACTGCTATTTTCAATCAATTTTTCTATTGTTTTAAAAAGAAAAGAAAAACGACAAAAAGAGATTAACTGAGCCAGATTTTAGACTGTATTTATTTCCACTTGTACATAATGTGTAGAGAAAAAACGGTTACCGGTGTTATTTTACCTTCTCTCTTTTTAAAGCTTTTGTTGCTTGGATTCTTCGAAACGTCTTAATACAAATGTTTGTATGTTACAGCATGCAAATTGTCTATGGTATCCTCCTCCTACTGAACATGTGTAATGTCAAAGGAAAGCCTGTTCTGCACTAAGAAGAGATCAAACTGGACAAACGTTTAGTTTTTAGGACCTTTGATCTGTTACTCTCTTAAAAACCTGGATGTAAATCGGACCCTCATTTACTGGATGGACATGGACTGCTTTCGCTGCTAAAACTCTATGCACCAATCTGATTATCAAAGACTTTTCAGTTATCTTTTTTAAACTTTAAATACTCGTAGGGAAGAAATGGGTCGGCCTGTGGAGTCCTCCGCAGCCCGGTGTCTTAACGCGATCTAAACAGGAGGACGCTTGATTGTTAGGAAAGAGATTTTTGCCTGGTGGTAGCTGAGTCGATGCGTTATTCTGTCAACATGAAATCCCTGGTTTTCTGCTGCGTAGATATATGTGCAATATTGTGCAGAAGTGCTCAGCCAACCTGTTGGACGGTGAGACGTGCAGATGGAATCTGGCGTTTGGATGAAAGTGTTAGAGGAAAAACAAACCACGAAAAGCAAAATGCACAAAAGCAACGATCATTTATTGAATTAAACGAACCAGAACGGTTCAAATAATCGTTTTTTTCCGGACGCCTTTTTAATTCAATCGTTCGGCAAATTCACTTCTTTAATTATTATTTGGATTTGATCAAAAGTCATGTTTTGCTAATTGTCCCTGAAAGCAACACCAAAACGCGACCCCTGAAACAAACTTCTGCACAGTGCTGTAAATGTATATCTGTACATATAATTTCTATTTATTCAATGAACGTGTCCTGACGTGTCAACAAGTGAAAAACCTACAAAGTGGAACGTTGTTGAAAATCTTGTTTTCATAATGTTTAATAAAAAGTTCTGTCCCATACCTGCAGACTGCCGCCGTCCTCATTGCACCCCACAGCTTTTTAAACCCCCAAACAATTAAAAAGAGGCTTTCTGTCCGTTTTTAAAAAGGAGAAATTCAGCTGCGTTCATTTAAGGCCTTTGCTTCATGGGAGATTTTTTTTCTCCTGTTTTAAATATTAAAATGAGAATGAGGAAATAGAAATTATAACCCGATAAATTATCCTGGATTTTTTCTGACGTAACAACCGAATGTTTATCAAGTCAGTTATCATTTATTATAAGAAGAAGCTGCCGTTGAAATGATTTATTCGGTGTTAAAATGGAACAAAATGCCTGAACGAAACAAAAAAGGTCTTAATAAGAGAGACGGTTTATAGAAGAAAAAAAAAAGTTTTTTTAATGATTACTATCGTTATTTTTATTAGTAGCAGTATTACTGTCCGGTAAACATTTAGGATATTCCATTTCATCCCCAGCTTCTTTCTCTTCCGGATGCTTCTTCTGTTAGTTTTTCAGAGAAAAACCTCCCGGATCAGATCCGGGAGTGAAGCTTCCTGCGCGGCCACGGGAGAAACGCTCAGAAACGGCTGCGATCACCGGAGTTTCAGCATCTGTGTGCGTGATGGATGAGTGAAGCCCGGCTGCTGCTTCCTGCCTGCGGCCGGCTGAGAACCGCGCGCCCCGGCGGCTGAGTGGGTCTCCTGCCCGGGATGGGAGCCCGCGGGGCGGGGGCGCGCGCCACGCCGCGCCGGGGCTGCCGGGACTCGGCCACCAGGCCCCGACACGCGCGCCTCCTAACGCACCGCAGATGAGCGCGCGGTCGAAGGGGAGCGCGCGCGTTTGCCTTGGTCAGAGGTCAGAGCTGTGTCCAGCCCCCTGTAGCCGCCTGCTCTCACCCTCAGTCCAGCCTGTCTGGGAGTTTTTCACCCTCAGAAAAAACTTCATTTACAGAGTTTGATCTATTTCTTTTTCCCCTCTGCAGGCTGCCAGGACAAATCTGAGTCCTTTTTAGCAGGTTTTCACTTTCTTCTTTACCTATAAACATTTAAATGGTATAATCTACAAATGTTTTTCAACCTTGTGGACATTGATGCATTTTTAGACTTGGATTGATACACACTCCCCGGCTCTTATTGTACTCTATTACTGTCTCAAATCTGGAGGTCCTGTGCACTGGAGTTCACGTCTAATCTCTGCTCTCTAACTTTAAACGGATTCATTTGCTGATTCTTTAATGGGTGGAACATTCTGCTTTCACCTCAGTTCAAATTAGAAATTTCCCTTAATATCTCTCCTCTTTGTGCTACCCCTCTCACCCCTCCAGCCTCTCCATCAGCCTCCTCCTCCTCCTCCTGCTTTTGCTGACTCAGAGGAAACGTGGAGCAGTGTGACAGCCGTCACCTCGCCCGGCGTGCGCGCTCACGTGCACTTCTGGGGGGGGGCGCGGCGGGTCGAGGGGGCAGATATGCTCCTCGTGGGCTTATGTGGCGGAGAGAGATATCAGCGTGACTACTCTGGCTTTTCTTTCTATAAATCAGGGCAGAGTCCATGTGAGCTGGAACAAAGCGAGTGAAGAGGGATGGAGGGAAACAGAGATGGAGGGGGGGGGGGGGTGGGGGGGGCGGTGTGGCTCTGGCGTCTGGAGCTGCTGCTGCTGAGATTCAACACAGTCAGCGTCTCTTCGGCTCAGCTTACCTACAGTATACCTACACACACACACACACACACACACACACACACTCACGTCACAAACAGAGTGCAGACAAACACTGATGGATTCACATCATTTCAGTCAGCCTGATAACCGCCTCAGCCTGCTTTCTTTCTCTTTTTCTCGGGGTTGTTTTGCAGGCAGGAGCGCAGCTGTTCACTCCTCTGTCCAGACTTCCACTCGTTTGTTCCACCTGCACCACAAAGCACCAGGCGGTTTTCGAAGGGTAGAGCGGTAGAAAACTTGTTTTTGTTTAACTGAATTCAGGGGTTCTGAAACCAGGATTCCCTCCTCAGATCCTGTTGGTGCCAACAGAGTCCGATCGGCAGATGTTCCTCACACGGACGGCTGTTTTTCAAAAGGTTTCCCTTCTTCCTCTTCAGGATAAACCCGTTCTCTGTGGTCCATCAAGGAATGAGTGTATTTTACTCTAAAGGGGGTCCCCGGTCACTGCTGATCGTGCAGTTCTTATTGTAAGCTGCTTTAGGTCATTTTCTAACACATCAGGTGTTTAAACTGGGAATTGTTCTTATAATTTTAGGGTACCTTAAGGCGGTTTGATCTTAAAACGGGCAAAAGGCTTGGTTGAAATGTCCATGCAGTCTTTAAAATATGAGGAGTGTGGATCGACTGAAGAAAAATGATTTTGGATGTTTTTGTTGCACATTTTGTTGCAAATTTCTCAACAAAAGTTGTGGTAAATTAAAGAAAGCGTTCAGGAACTGAGGGATAGACTTAGTACAGGTTGTGTAAATGCATCCTGTGGATGACGGCGGCTTGTTAGAAAGCAGCATAAATGTGTCTAAATGGCACAAAAACGTGCCCAAAAAGTCAAAGAAGCCTCTCTCTCAGAGGTTGAAGGAGCTGTGTTACATCAGACATGGTGGAGCCATCAGGACGGCTTTAGTTATGATATGACATGCTGCATTAATGATGGGGGCTGAAACCTCAGCTCCTAAACTCTCCTGTAGCCTCCTTCCAGCCTCCTTATCAGGACTTTTCCACCATTAAATCTTCTGAAACACAGTTTGCTGTTTGCTAATCTAACGCTGCATTTACGTCCACCTGGGACTTTGGAGCTCCAACTCCAAAAAGTCAGCTCTAGTTTGAGCTCTCAACACCTGGATGCTGTAGTGGTTTCACCTCTGGTTTTTACCTCACTTTTCTAACACTGATGGTAGAGGTAGCTTTTCCTGAAGTCACAGCTTTGACTCCGGTGGACAGTGACAGGTTTAATGGACGGGTCCGGTGGCCCTTACCTGACCCAGGTCATGGACACGCACCACAAAACCTTCACCTGGTTCCTGCTTTCCAGGGTTTGTCCTCAGATCATTCTGGATCGATTGAAAGTGTCTGTCCTTCAAAATCAACTTGAAAGGCAGGGCTTTTCCTTTTAAATTTCTCATTAAGCGGGAGCCTGACGGCGCCGGGCGGCCTCGGGGGGGGCGGGGGGGAGG